GCAGTAGGTGTTCCCACCTCCCTAATGTCTGGTGTATTTGCCCTCACAGCACGTGAAGGACATCATCCTGCAGTCCAACCCGCTGCTGGAGGCTTTCGGGAATGCCAAGACAGTCCGGAACAACAACTCCAGTCGATTTGTGAGTTTCTTCCCTGACTTGGAGAACGTCACCTGATGGATGATGTTGGTTTTCCGGATTTACGTTGGTGTCCCAAAGGAAGTGGGAGCCTTTGACGTTTCCTCAGGGGGCTCTCTTCAGTCTTTCTGTCATGTTATAGCAGTGTTTGCCCTTTGACTAAAGTTATTTATGAGCATCAATATGCAAACAAGATGATTTTGAATGCATTTCTCAACTTGAGTTGCCTTAGGTCTAAGTTTTCTAGCGCTGTGGTAACAAAATACCACAAAGTGAGTGGCTTTACAGAAGAGAAATTTATTGTCTCATGGTTTGGGAAGGTAAGAAGTACAGTCAGGACCATGTTGGCTCCTTTTGAGGGCTCTGAGAGAGAGAAACTGTTCCATGCCTCTCTCCTAGCTTCTGGTGGCTCCCAGCAATCCTTGACGCTCCTTGGCTTGTAGATACGTCTTCACGTGGCACCTTCTCCTCGTGTCTGGCCCTTCCTTCCTGTCTGTTCTCCTGTTTTTATAAGAGATTACTGAGATGGATTAGGACCCACCCTACTCCATCTTAAAAGACCTTATTTTCAAACAAGGTCACATTCACCAGTATTGCAGTTAAGACTTTAAGGTATATTTTGGGAGGAAATAACTCAATCCATAACACCATACTAAAAAAAATGAAAACTGATGAAAGTGGCAGCTTTCGTCCTAAAGGAATTTGCTTTGTGCCATGGAGAAAAGAGCTGCTTTCCCAGACAAAGGCGTAGACTTGATGGGCATCCGAGGTCTTGTTTTCAAGCAATAATGATTTTTCTGCCTAGAACGTGGTCTGTAGACACTGAAGTGAGTGGACACTTTGACTCCCGCCCTGGTCCAGTCCCTTTGAGGGAACCTTGCTCCTCTTGATCAGAAAGAATAAGCCACCTGCCTGAGTTGTCTAGAATTCACTCCCTACCCCTCCCGTCATAGCTTTGTGTATTTGTTTTATGTATATTCATGTAACATAATAACATCCAAAAGAGACTGAACCTTGCCTCAGGGATTGCCGCATAACTGGCCCGCTTACCCAAGGTAATGAAAATGTCAGCTGAATGCATTGCTGTGAATACTCTTTAGACATTTTTCTGTCTGGGTGTCTCCTGAGGGGGTAAACTGAAAGTCTGGCAAGGATGAATATGGATATATTCCCCTTGAAAAAGCGCCACATTTATAAAGAAACAAATGTTTACCAAGTAGCTTTGATTTGTGTACATTTTGCATCTTATCTCAACCATGGATTATGTCTGGCACTAAGGCATTCAAAGAGTCATCTGTAAGGCTGATTCGGGACCATTTTAAAATAAATGAATGAGAATTTTGGGAAAAAAACAATTTTTTTTAATTCTGTATTTTGGAAGGAAGCTTCTATTTCCAAGAGATGTCTTACTAAATTGTCATGCAGTAACTTTCAGCTTCCTTAAGTGAGTTACCAGTGGCTCTGCAGGAGAAAAGACCTGGCAATCTGCTCCCGTAAAGACTGTAGCCTAGGAAACCCTGTGGGGCAGTTCTGCTCTGCCATATAGGGTCATGTGGGGTCACTATGAGTTGGAATCGACTCGACGGCACCCAACAACACCAACTAGTGGAAAGATGGAGAAAAGTATGGATGTGCAGTTCACACACACACACACACACACTCTCACATACACTCGCACACACTCCCACACACTCATACACACATACAGTAACGGCTGATGGCATCAAAACTAATGTTTGCTAATAATGAGAGAAATGCAAATTAACAGAATATATCATTTCCTGTGTCTTAGAATGGTCAGATAGTAAGGAGATTGATATTACCGGGGGAAAGGACACTATTGGTTGAAGACTGACACATTTTCCCAAGAAAGCAATTTGGCAATTTCTATCAAAATTTAAAATGCTTATTATCTTCTACCCAACAATACTACTTTTAGAATAATTATGTAAGTTTTCTGTTAATAATTGCTTATATAAAAGTTATCCATAATATATTGTTAAATTAAAGAAGAAATAGGCTACAGAAAAACATATATAATAGGGTCCCCTTTTTGCTTTAAAATGGGCGCATTACATAAAACATAATTACAGTGCATACAAATCAAAGTCTGAAGATGCTGTTACACTGATTATTTAGTAGGAAGAGGTGGAAGTGGCATCAGGGTGAGATTACGGGTGGTTTCACTTTTAAAAATGAGCATGCAGTACTTTTATAATCATAAAAATTCATGTATTTCCATTTGTAAATATTTTTAAGTTTAAAAAATATAAAATATTTCAGAAAACGCTATTTAAAAATATAATGAAGAACTGTGTACCTGGCACCCAGCTTAAGAGATACAGCATCACCAATAGAGTCAAAGCGTCTTTCCATTGAATTATCAAAACGCAGCTTCCTTTTCCTTTATAGGAGCCCTGGTGGCGCAATGGTTCTGCGTTCAGCTGCTAACCAAAAGACTGGCAGTTCGAATCCACCAGCTGCTGCTTGGAAACCCTATGGGGCAGTTCTACGCTTTTTTTAAATGGGGAGTTGGTGGGGAGGGAGGATGCCGAACGGCTCCCTCCAGAACATGTCAGAAGGAGAAAGTGGTGTAGGGCAGCCACCATAGGAAGCACTGAAGGGTCTTGTCTAGCAAGCTTTTCTTGAGAACCACTGTAATTCAGGATTGCAGTGGTTTGTGATTCTTTATGTCTTGTGCTTCTGGGTATTTGTTTTTGTTTGGGGGGTGGGTCATCAGATTAAGAAACATAGACAATTAGTAATTGTAATCTTTTTGACCCTTGGAATCAGCTTGTAACTTAACAACAGTAACACCTCATGTACTGGATACTGTAGACAGTAGGAAAATCATTCAATGAAATTTTCTTGTCCTTTATGAATTTAACTTGTGGCCCAGCAGGATTCAGCCCTGAGATAGATGGGTTTTGCCAGCCTACAATGCCTTCATGCTGGGCATGATCTCCAGTTTGGCCCAGGGCCACATCACTCACTAATGCTCACTCTCTTCTCCTTCGTTTTAAATTTGCCCTCCTGACCATTAAAGGTGTGTAAGTTTCTGAGGAGTGAAGAGAAACTAGGTTCTAGTGAGGAGACAAATTGATTTACTTAAGCTGGATGTCTTTTCCAACAAAATTCCAAGTTTTTATTCTCCTTTGTTCCCTATTAGCTGTAATTTAAAGGAGAATAGTGATAATAATCACGAAAAGAACAAAAGTCCTCACACCCACAACTAACTGGGAAGAACTTTATTCATAACCAACTGCTTTTATTCTAGATAAGAATTTTAGGTGCCCCAAAGGTAGAAGGGATTGACTGCTTTTGCTCTAAAGCCATGATATCTGTCAGAGGGAAAATTTGCTTCCTGTGAAAGAGGCTGACAGACTTCCCTCTTGTGATACCGAGGGCACCATATGATCTTCTGCCCCATTCTTTACACCTTCCTGGTTTAGGAGTCAAATACCTACTGGAAGGAAATGGGCAAAGGATATAACTTATCCTTATTTAGTCAGGCTAGACGATAGATTCTCTCTCTCAGTATAGAATTGTGTGAGTGGACAAGAGCGTGTGTTATTGTCTGAAAGGAAAAAGTGAGGAAGTCTAAACCAGAACTGGGAAGAACTCTCAATGTGTCTTTTATTAATGAATTTCCTTGAATTATATACTGTATCAAAAGCCTGTTTGGAGTATCATGTTTTTGTTCACCACCCATTGAAGGAAAGCCTTAACTTTTTTTCAGGGAAAATACTTTGAAATCCAGTTCAGTCCAGGTGGAGAACCAGATGGTGGAAAGATCTCCAACTTCCTTCTGGAAAAATCCAGGGTGGTGATGAGGAACCCTGGAGAGCGGAGTTTTCACATATTTTACCAGGTTTTCCTTTACATATTTTCTTTCTACTTCCTTGTTCCTTCTCCACATTTTTTTAAAAAAATGTTTTTTTTCCACTCAGTTATCAGATTTAGATAATCTAGTCCAGCAAGCCAAGAAATATTTGTTACTACAGTGTGTGCAAGTCAGTGTGCAAAATAGTGGTGAGACCATCCCTTCCCTCAAGGAAAATAAGTTCTAGTTGGGATGATAAGACAAAAATGTCCCCAGCTTAAAACAGTCAAGAAAGTACTGATGTAACTTTAAAACAACAGTGGGAGTGCTTGATTCTTCGCCCAGTGGGGATTCATGTGGGGAGATTTGGCTCGGATAGTGAGGAGAGATTTTAGAGAGATACAGTTCTGGATGGTTAAATGGAGGGGAGCTGGGTTAGGGAGGTCAGATGGCCTCAAAAGATTTTGAGGAGACAGGGAAGAAAACTAAGGAATTCTGATTTCGTGAGGTGACCTAGAACTTCTCAGTAATGGAGTTGTGGTCCCCCGTTGTGGGAGAAGGGAAACCAAGATGCCATGAAGTACTTGACAAAGGTGGGAAAGTGTGGCTAGATGTTGTCTCTGCTCTATTTTTCTAAATACTTGTTGGGTAGGAGCCAGTGAGCATCTCCTCCCACCTCTTCCTTTACTGACATCTTGTTGGGAGTTGGAAGTCAGTCGTGCTGGGAGTATTTACACCACAGAAATTGGCTAATGCTGTAACTTTGTGTTTTTTTCCTCCTAATAGTTGATTATTAGACATCTTCCAGCATGGCACTGGTTGGCGCTGTTTAGGAGGGTGTTGGTGTTGCCCAGACGTAGGGCAGAGGTCAGAGCTGGAACAAAAAGCCGAGGGACAGTCAGTTGGTCTGGAGGTGTCAGAATGCCAGAGACCAGGGTGTACAGCTGTTGGTTAATATGTACCCTGCAATGAGAAGCATGGAGGAGCCAGCTCCACTCCGTAAGCCGTAAGAAAGTTGGACAGGAACAAAGTGACTGTAGCCTGCCTTGCTTACCTCTCTCTCGAAGGCTCACACAAGTGTAGCAGTATAGTTCCCTTTATTGGACAAGGGCAGATTCTAAACCTTTATCAGGGTCAAGAACCAGAATTCTCAGGGATGATCGTGGGGACCTGGTGGCGCAGTAGTTAAGAGCTCGGCTGCTAACCAAAAGATCGGGAGTTCAAATCCACCAGCTGCTCCTTGGAAACCCTATGGGGCAGTTCTGCTCTGTCCTAATGGGTTGCTATGAGTTGGAATTGAGTGGATGGCAACAGGTTTGGTTTTTAGCTTTTTACAGGTGGGTCAGATATTCTGAAGCTCCCTTCTGTTTCAAAGACTACGATCACCCACAGTTTTAGAAAGCAGGGATCGAATGTCTTCATCGCCTAGGCTTGGGGCTGGTGTTGGCAGGAGCTAGGAGGTGACTTTGAGAGTGCATCGTGGTCACACCATTCCCGTCCCACGTTCTCTTGCTCCAGCTCATCGAGGGCGCCTCTGCGGAGCAGAAACACAGCCTCGGCATCACCAGCATGGACTATTATTACTACCTGAGCCTCTCTGGGTCCTACAAGGTGGATGACATCGACGACAGGCGGGAGTTTCAGGAAACCCTGGTGAGTGCAGGGGCAGGGCCAAGGTGAGATCGGCTCTCTGGACTGGGCATTGCCTATGGTAGAAGGGCAGCAAAGGTTAACAGAGCAAACAGCAGCATGGAATTTCCAGCTTATTCTGCTGTAAGCACTCCGTATCTTAAAACACATGTTAAACGGAAAAAAAAAAAAAAAAAACCATGTTGCTGTCAAGTTGATTCTCACTCATGGCAGCCCCAGTTTAAAGCACCCGTAAATAACCATGTGCCCAGTTGCCTGAGGACCACTTAATGATTTGAGATCTGCATAAAAAGCTAACTCTGCAGGAGTTCCGGTAAACAGGCAAACACCATTGTGGGTGATACATTCAGCATAGCTGTTTGCTGATTAGCCGACGTAACTGTTGAGCTGTTTCCTTAGAAGGCAAAGCGAAGGCCATTCCTATGGCCCTAATCAGGTTTAGGAAGCTGAGAACACCTTTAGCCTTTTTTTTCACCCCTCTTCGTAGCTTGTCTGTTTTTGAGGACTTTCTCTTCACCTCTGTGCTGGACAGCTCAGAGGAAGAGCCTCCCGCTCCAGGCTCTTCACACTGTGTGTAAACTATGACGCAAGTTGTAAAACTAGTTGAGCTAGATTATTGCGGGGGGCCACAACCTGGGGGAAATAACTAGTCAGTCTAGAATGTGCTGGAAATAGACTGGTCATCCATTTAGGCTAAAAGAAGTATGCCACCATATTAAGTCAGGTATGAGCCAGGCCCATTCCTTCTCCCAGATCCCGACCAGATGGGAGACCCTGACTGGGCAGTGGAGGTTCAGTTTGAGGGGAGCTGACATTTGTGCTTGAAAGGGATAGGATGTTCAGACAGACTGTGTCCTGAGTGCCAGGAAATAAGATGGCATCCAGAGGCCACTGGCGTCAAAGGAGCTGTTGTTGTGAGGTGCCACCGAGTCAGTTCCGAATCACAGTAACCCTGTACACAACAGAACGAAACACCGCCCGGTCCTGCACCATCCGTTGTTATGCTTGAGCCCATTGTTGCAGCCACTGTGTCAAGCCATCTCGTTGAGGGTCTTCCTCTTTTTCGCTGACCCTCTCCTTTACCAAGCCTGATGTCGAAGGAGCTAGGAGAAAAGAACGTAGATAAGGGACTGCATACTGGTCCCTTTGGTTCTCTTAGGAACAAAGTTTCTGGGTGACCCTCTCCTTTACCAAGCCTGATGTCGAAGGAGCTAGGAGAAAAGAACATAGATAAGGGACTGCATACTGGTCCCTTTGGTTCTCTTAGGAACAAAGTTTCTGGGTGACCTTCTCCTTTACCAAGCCTGATGTCGAAGGAGCTAGGAGAAAAGAACGTAGATAAGGGATTGCATACTGGTCCCTTTAGTTCTTTTAGGAACAAAGTTTCTGGGAGTCAGACATTTCAGCTGCTTTTAGTGGACTTTATGAACCTCAGAATTAAAATTTTGGCAAGATGCTCTACTTCCCAGAGATTTGTCATCAGAATCCTTTTGCAAATAAAATCTGTGCTCAGCCTTCCCAAAAGGGAACTATCTCCAAGGCTAGAGTAGCTGAAAGGAAGGTAGTGCCCTTGGTGGGGGAGGATCGGCCACAGGATATACAGAGGGATGGGGAGAGACTTAGAGACCTTGTGAACAGCTGCCTCGCCATCTGAATCCCGTTCTGGAATTCCCCTGCCCTGACTCCTGGGAGGATTGCATGTGCTGTTTAAAGACAGACCGCCCTGCCAGCACCACTTTGAAACTCGAGAACAATGTGCAAGAGTGCAAGAGTGATAATGACTTACAGGGGCTTCCAGCTGCCATCACAAGCTAAGCCGTGTATAACTGCACAACCCAATCTAAGCTTCAGCTTCTGTGTTATGTGCTTGTAAAGCTGGAGGCCAGCTTGTCGGGACAGTTCCATGTCTTTTCTCTTCCAGCACGCGATGAACGTGATCGGGATCTTCGCAGAGGAGCAAACGCTGGTGCTGCAGATCGTGGCGGGCGTGCTCCACCTGGGCAACATCAGCTTCAAGGAGGTCGGCAATTACGCCGCTGTGGAGAGCGAGGAGTGTACGTAACTGTGGCACGTGGTTGTAGAGTGGGGGGAGATGGCCGGTTAGCTTGGCTTAGATGTCAACCAGAGTATGTTGGAAGAGCTGAAAAGTCTTATGGGTCCTTCTGTGCAGAGCAAATTGGCCACTTGCCTCACCGCCACCTCTCCCACATCCTCACCACAGGTGATTAATGAAATCATTTCAATTTATCATTAACCGTGGGGAAACCTGGCAAAATTTCACTCCTAGGTTTAAAAACAAGTGGTATCTTTTACTCTCCTAATCATTGCCTTTTGTATAACTGGTCTTTAGGGTCTAAACCAAACACCAAAATCGGTGGCCGCCGAGTCGATTCCACCTCATGGTGACTCGTGTCACAGAGTAGAACTGAGCACCAAGGGGTTTTTTCGGCTGTCATCTTACAGAAGCAGATCGCCAGGCCCTTCTTCTGTGGTGTCCTTGGAGGGGTTCAAACCTCCAACCTTTGGTTATTAGCCAAGAGCGAACTGTTTGCGCCACCCAGGGACCTGTAAAGGCAAGATGTCGAACATATGTGAATATGGAAAGCGCACAGGTTCAGTTTGCCCTATGGGTTGGATTGGGTTCAGTTTTTGAAAACAGAGACAGATGGACATTGGCTATTGCATTGACTCTGCTGCTGATCACCTTTAATAAGGAGCGTTCAGGACCCCTCTGCAATAGTCAGAACCTCCAGAGCTGAGTGGTCATTTTTACTCTCCAGGAAGAAATTGAGGTCCTTCCCGCAGGGAGACGTTACTGGTTATGCGTGCCAGCGATCTGTCACAACAGTGTGGCGTGTGATGGCCTCGTAGGCAGCAGATGACTTTGCAGGCTGCTGTCCGCTCACAGAGCCTTCAACCACCCAGGAAAAGAGCTCTTCCTTTCTCAGCATTCTTCAAGGATGATAAATTTAGATGTTTAGTAATAAATAGTATCCCACTCATTGCTGACAGTGCACTGGGGATATTTCCATTCCAAATAAGGCTCTTTTTTATGTTTTTGTTTTCTTTTCTGATAAAAGAGGGAAGTTCTGCTAACTTCGGATGTCTGTCTGATAAAGAGCAAGACAGATTTGTTTAACAGCAAAGGGGGCGGGGTGGAAAGCCATAAATATACAGGTTGTCCTTAAAGTCGAGAAACCTGACCGAGTAATAAGAACTGTGTTTCTAGACTTGTATGTACATTAGCCTTTACATCTAATAAAGGCACAAGTGTGTCAAGTAGATTATTAGCCCTTTTAGTATTGACGGTTTGAGTTTGGTGGTGATTTCTGTGGAGATGGACTGGATCTTTCTTGCCTTCTCAGATATTAAAATCCTTTACTTCCTCTTCATGCTTGAGATCCAAGTCGTGATGCTGAAACTGTAAGCATTCTCTTTTAAGTTTGAACCAAGAAGTGGTTTGTTTTATGTTTGAAGGAAGTAGCCTCCTCATCCAACTGGGTAAGCCCCACCATCAGCAACTGATGCTAAAATTTCCTGACAGAAGATGGTAGAGATGTGGAGGTCAGAAAAGACTGTACTTGAAGCCAAAGCGGTCTGACAAAGAAATGTGTCCCCCTCCCAGTAGTTTCCCTCTGTTGGTTTTGGTTTCTGTTCAGGTGGTAATATGTTAACATGGGTCACAGTAGGTATGCAGTCAAAGTTCTTCCGTCAATTTGTTCCCCTCCCCAGAGGCAACCCAGGTTCCCAGTCTCTTGTGTTTCCCTCTGGGGCATGTGCACATATCCATTCTTTTCCCTACTTTTGTGCAATAGTGGAAACCTATGACACAATGTTCTACAGCTTGCTTTTACATTTAACAATATATCTCGGGGATTATTCTGTATCAATTCATAGAGAGCTTCGTCCTTTTATAGGTACATTGTATTCCATTTCTTGGCTGTGCTTTGATTTCTTTAACCAATCACCTGTTGATGGGCATTAAGATTGTTTCCATTCTTCTGCTCTTACAAATAATACTGAAATGAATAACCTTGATCTGTGTCATCTTTCTCATATTTGAGTATATCTGTGGAATAAATCTCTAGAAGGAAGTGCTGGCCCATGCTTTTATAATGGAAGCAAGCAGACTTTCTTCTAGCTGTTCTGTGGTAGAAAAACAAAGTTAGGATACCCATCACAACTGGCCTGCTAAAGCAAAATAGCCATTAATAACAACAAATGTTGTTGTTACCTGACCTTAGGCTGATTAAACTGTAGAACTTTCTTAGTCGAATCGTTATGTGTATTGGTGTGTGTGTATGTGTCTTAAGCCTACTCACTTTTTTAAAAGTGTGGTAAATATATAGGTAACAAAACATTCGCCATTTCTACAGTCTTCACATGTACAGTTCAGTAACATTATTTATGTTCATCATGTTGTTGAACCATCACCCTGAACAGAAGATCAGCATCCCCTAAAGACTCTTTCCAAATCTGTATATTTTTGAGAAGCCAAACAAACCTCAGCCTAGGTGCCTGTGTGCCTTCATCGTAAATATAGTGCGATGGAGTAGCTTTGGAAGCGAGTCTTGCTTGAAAAATATGAAATACCAAATCAACCTCAGAATTTTGTTGAAGGAAAAAAAAAACTATTTAAGTAACAGTGGGCTGTAGAATTAACAGTGCCCCTTCTTTCCTGTTACTAATGGATTAGAAAGCACAGAACCTCCACACCAAAGACAGATAAACCACATGTACTTTTTTCATTTAAGTTTGAAAAAGTAAAATTTTGTTTTGCTACATCTTTTTTCTACTTTGAATTTAAATGGAAAAAATTAAGTCCAGCTTTGCTACGCACTTTAAAGGAGTAGTAGAAATTGATCTTCATTATTAAAATGTGCTGAAACATTACTTTCTAGCAGGTTCTTTTGTGTTTTATATAACCCTAATTAACTATACCAGAGTACATCAGCATTTTTTAATTAGCCAATCCTTCCTCCCTCCTCCACCTCCCTGCAGCCTCTAAGCTTTCATACTGACGCCCTTATCCGGTCGTACTAACATACGTGCCCTCATGGACATTCACAGCTGAAGGAAGTCTGTAGGAGCAGCCCTGTGATCGTAGCAGCAGGGCAGCCACTGGTGAAAGTAGGAGGCCATGAAAGCTTGTCCTTGGAAAAACAAAGCAAATACTGGATCATCGCTTTAGCCTTCTTAGCTGTTTCCAAAAACTTGTGACTCTGATTCTTAGGCAAATTCATGCCTTGTTTTTGGAGGGCCTGCAGCGCTTCAGCTGTGTTCTTTTCTACCCAAGAGTATGAAAGACGGAAGTAGTGTATGGGTCTTTGTCTCTTCTGTCTGCTTGGGTGTCTCTCCTCCAAGGCACTCATCCTAGCCCTAACTGTGGTAGTTCTTGAGCTGTGATCATAACGACAATGGCATAAATAGTATCACCAAATATGCTTACCATGCCCCCATTTTAGCATGATTAGGGACTTGGGAGAACCCTATGTTTACAAAACAAGACAATTTGGGGATAATTATACATTTTCTAAAAGTATCCACTGTAGCGCTGGTTAAGAGCTGGGCTGCTAACCAAAAATGTCAGCACTTGGAATCCATCAGCCGCTCCTTGGAATCCTGTGGGGCAGTTCTACTCTGGCCTATAGGGTCGCTATGAGTCGGAATCAACTTGATGGCAACAGGTTTGGTTTTTTTTGTTTGTTTGTTTTGGTAGGGTTCCCATGAGCATCCACAAGGGGACCTCATGGATATACTAACCATTGATGATGTATATATCCACAACAGAGAGTGAAGTTTGCCTACCCCTGGTTATCTACCTGGTGAAGGGGATAATAATTAAGATGAAGACTCATCCAAGTTCAGAAATTTCATTTGAGTCTATAAATGTCTTCACTCATATTGAAGAAATCTGACCTTTTTTTCAGTGACCAAGGATTGAATACCAAATTAATTGAACCAGACATCAAGAACATTCCATTTATGTCACTAGCCCTCCTCTTAATGACTGTCATTGCTGAAAACAAGTTGCTGAGCCATAGGAGCCCCAGCTTTTCTATCTGCAGATGAGAAACAACCTTCCCACATGTCTTTGGGGTGGGCTGAGTGTACCAGTATGAATGACATGAACACAGCTCCCCGTTGTTTCACTCCACGTGCCACCCCTGAAGAAATCTTGTAACACCCCTCTAGAAAACATCCCTGACCCTCTTTAAGCTCTAGCCCAAATAGCCATTCAAGGATCCCCACCGGAATCCAACCTGTCTTTATTTTTCTGCAAACTTTCAGCTGTAGCCAAAGGGGTACTCACTGTACCCTCACCATACTCATGCTTTCCTGCCTTCTCACCCTTGCACATTCCAGTTCCTCCCTTTCTCCGCTTCTTTCTTCCTCTGCATCTGTGCAAATCCTATTTATCCTTTTAAGCCCTGCCCAAATCCCACATCTTCTTTGACCACCCTTCTAAATTCCTACAGGACTTTATTGTCTCTTCTATGTCACACGTTCAGCCTTTAGCAGGCGTCTTTATTTGGCAAACTATCTTTACCTCATCTGGATTGTCTTCAGGATTCCTTAAATATTTTGTACCTTGTTCTTTGTCTTTAGTAACCCTACACGTGGTAACCACACAATGAATATGTAATTGGTTGTGATTATTAGTTCAGTGATATCAGGTGCTTGAAGCTCTTTGGCAATGATGCTATGAAAACCCCCTGTAACCAAAAGGGAAGAAAACAATATTTGGAGCCAAAGAAATGTTTCTTGAGTTAGTTCCTTCCTGGCTGTCTTGCCCCAAGCTTAGAGACATCCATTTTAGGCATGTAGCTGTGATCTCAGTAGGGGGATTGGTTTGTCCTCCTTCTGAATCACTGATTTGTGTTATTGGGAGTCTCGATTGTCACAGGGATTGACTCATGTAATAAAACAATCAGAACAAACAAAGTGGATGGATGTGTGTGGAATTGCTGATAAGCAACCTTGCTAGACTGTAAGTTCTTGGGTGTTAATAATGGTTCCTTGCATTTACACACAATTGTACACACTCACACATGTGCACACACATATATATACACTCACACATATGCACACACACAAATACCTTCACATGTTAGTTGAAGTTCTGAAAGATAATCATACTTTGTTTTGTTTTCTATAGTTTTGGCTTTTCCTGCATACCTCCTGGGGATAAACCAGGAGCGATTGAAAGAAAAACTCACAAGCCGGCAGATGGATAGTAAATGGGGAGGCAAGTCGGAGTCCATCCACGTGACCCTCAATGTGGAGCAGGCCTGTTACACCAGAGATGCGCTCGCCAAGGCCCTGCACGCCCGAGTCTTTGATTTCTTGGTAGATGTAAGTAAACACAGGCAGACTTTGGTAATGCTTCGTATTTTAGCTATAAAGAGTACAGCTACTAAGGATTTGTTTTCATGTTTTGGCTCATTCCTTTTAACCAATTACTTTACTCCTCCATTTTTTATCGTCTCTCCCTAGGATCACTGAATCTTCTGTTACTTTTAAAATTTCACCCCAAGACGTGGTGGTGGTGGTGGTGGAGGTGGTGTTAGGTACCGTCGAGTCATTTCCGAGTCATAGCAACCCTGTGTACAACAGAATGAAACACTGTCCGGTCCTTTGCCATCCTCACAATTGTTGTTATGCTTGCACATTGTTGCAGCCATGGTCAGTCCATCTCATTGAGGGTCTTCCTCTTTTTCGCTGACCTTGTACTTTACCAAGTATGATGTCCTTCTCCAGGGCCTGGTCCCTCCTGATAATATATCCAAAGTATGTGAGACAAAGTCTCACCATCTGGCTTCTAAGGAGTATCCTGGCTGTACTTCTTCCAAGACAGATTTGTTAGTTCTTCTGGCAGTTCACGGTATATTCAATATTCTTCGCCAACACCATAATTCAAAGACATCAATTCTTCTTTGGTCTTCCTTATTCATTGTCCAACTTTCACATGCATATGAGGCAATTTAAAATACCATGGCTTGGATCAGGTGCACCTTAGTCCTCAAAGTGACATCTTTGCTTTTTAACACTTTAAAGAGGTCTTTTGCAAAAGATTTGCCCAAAGCAACACATCATTTGATTTCTTGAGTACTGTTTCCGTGGGCGTTGATTGTGGATCCAAGTAAAATGAAATCCTTGACAACTTCAGTTTTTTCTCCTCTTATCATGATGTTGCTGATTGGTCATGTTAGCTGCATCAAATGTAGTAACAGCTTTTGGAGGACAAAACATTTGATAAAGCCAGGACTAGAGACCCAAAAAGGGGAGACCTCTTGAGTATTAAGCCTAAAGTGTTAGGAATATAGTATTTGTTATCTATTGCTGTATTACAAATTACCCCCAAAACTTAGTGACTTAAAACAATAAGCATTTATTCTCTCATAGCTTCTGTGGGTCAGGTATTTGGGAGTGGCTTAGCTAGGAGGTTCTGATACACGGTCTGTCATGAGGTTGCAGCAGTTGGGACTACAATTATCTTAAGAACTGACTGAGGTTGGAAGATCTACTTCTAAGATGGCGTACTCATACGGCTTTTGGCAAGAGGCCTCAGTTCCTTGCTGTATGGCCTCTCCATAAGGCTGCTTGAATCTTGTCACAACACAGCACTTGTCTTCCCTCCAAGTGAGTGTTCTAGGAGAGAGAAGAAGGAAGAAGTCACAGTGCTTTTTATGTCCTAATCTTGGACCCAGACATTGTCACTTCTGCCACATTATTAGAAGCAAGTCACTAGTGCAGTTCACGTGTAAGGAGAGAGGAATTAGGCTTCACTTTTTGAATGGAGGAATATCAAAGACTTTTTGGATATACTTTAAAACCACCACAGATGATTTTGATTATTGCATAATCATGTGTATACTTAATGCATATGTGTACATGTATATATCACATTTCTATCCTAAAGTTGAATTTTTCTTTCAGCAGTGTAGAGCTGCTGGTGACCGTGTATGTTCATTGCTGTGGTCTTTAAATGTTAAAATAATAATGGCAAGCATTTATATAGCACCAACTGTGTGCTAGGTACTGCTTGAAGTATTTTGGAAAAAATAAATAACTCACTTAATTTTTTCAACAACTGCGTGACCTAGGTATTATTATCTCTATTTTACAGATAAATTAACGGATGCACAGAGGTGATAGATTGATCTATTGAGTGATAAATCTAGGAACTAAACCTACATAATTTGGCACTTCTCTTAACCATTTGGCTCTGCTGCCTTTTCTGTATTCAAACTAGAAGGAACTTAGTGGGACCCTAGCCTAGGGACAACAGCACGGCCATTAGAACCAAAAGGTCTGTGTTGGAATCCAGGCATCAACCCCTATAAGGCTTAAAGCGTGGTCAGGTGTGGTTAGGATAGGGAAGGGTAGGTTAATTATTTTGTCTACTTCTGTGGCTATTTTAAGGGTTACATAAGGGTGCTTGGAAAAGTCAGAATCATGCTAAACATTGTTAGTTGCGGTTGAGTCGATTCCAACTCATGGTGACCCTGCATGTGCAGAGTAGAGCTGCTGCATCTCCATAGGGTTCCCAAGGGTGTGACCTTTTGGAAGCAGATCCCAGGCCTGTCTTCCAAGGTACCTCTAGGTGGGTTTGAACCTCCAGCCTTTCAGCTAGTAGCTCACCACCTACAGATTTACTAAACAGTTGTTAGGTTTTTCAGCCGTCCAGACCCCTCATTTTACCGAAAAGGGAATCTTGGGCCAGAGCATTGGTGGATTTGCCCAAGGCCACTCAGCAAGAAAGGGGCGCAGAGCTGAGACTAGAACCCACATCTCTTGTGTCTGTTCAGGGTACCGTCTAGCGCTCGACTTCCGACCTTATTTATGTCCTGTCATCCTTCAGTTTTTTATGGTAGAAGGAGAAGGATATCCCATGTAAGTGACACTTAATAGAGTTGACACTTACTAGGCACTGACTTTGCCCAGTCCTGTATTCTTCCCTCATGCACCCCCATCCTCGGCTGCCCTCACCAACACCCACCACCCTACACCCACCCTCTCATCATTAAGTCTGTGCCACTGAATTGCAATGACCTTTTCTCATGATGCAGAACAGTTATAGACATGATACTGCCTAAATGTAACCCCAGGCCCTGCCTCTTGCTCAGTGTGACTTTAGTCAAGCCTCAGCGTCTAAACCTGAAAAGGGGGCATAATGGTGTCACTGTCATGATAACTTGTGAAAATTAATTGAAACAACGCATGAAAAGCACTTAGCAAAGGTAAATGTCAAATACATGTAAGCTGTTTTTATTGTTATCACTTTAATAATAATTACTGTTATCATTATCCATAGTCTCCCCGTCCTTTCTCTAAACCCCGGACAACAGGGACTGTCTTTCCCCTGGCACGTTGTGCTAGGTGATCGTTAAATGACTGTTGAATGGGTGACTCTGGGCGTGATGTTTCCAGGTCTGGTAGTATTGGTTTGTCATATGAAATAGGCTTATACTAAAATCATCCCAGATGACATTTTCTCCTAATTCTCAGGACTTCTTGAGAAGAACTAAGTGCCAGCACTTAGTGGATTTCATCATTAAACAAGCATTTTTTCCTACCATAGTAATTTTTTGGATCCTGTGGTTTTCCAGAGTATGTGGCTTGGCTCTGAGAGACCTTTCTTGAGCTGCAGTTCACCTGTCTTCACTGACTTCTGTTTCTAGTGGGTAGAAGTATCTGCCATGTGCAGTCTTGCTTCCCTTTCCCTGATGCTAGCCCACGTTTATCTATGAGTGAAAACAAGTTCATTACCAAGTTGTTTTCTTTCTCCTAGGCCATCAATAAGGCAATGGAGAAAGACCATCAAGAATACAACATTGGCGTCCTGGACATCTATGGCTTTGAAATATTCCAGGTAAGACCAGTTGGAATAATAGGGGGTTGGAAGGAGGTGATACCGTCTGACTTGCAAGAAATACTTCTAGGCAATGAAAAAAAAAATATGGCTTATGTGTGCCTTCATGAGTTCTTCATGTACCTTTGCTGAATTAGTTTCTCCTAAATATAAACTATGCTTCTTTCCACTGCTGCAGCCAACATTTCTGTGAAGCCTTTTCACGTTGAAACATTTTACTAAAGCACTCAAGAGATTACTTCATAATGATTTTGCAAAAACCTTTATATCTGAGTAACTTTTGTTTTTTAATTTTTTTTCCAGAAAAATGGCTTTGAACAGTTTTGTATCAATTTCGTTAATGAAAAATTACAGCAGATCTTTATTGAACTGACATTAAAGACAGAACAGGTAAGTAGTCCCTCTTCTTTCATCTTGTTCTATTTCTAATAATGTTTTGTTTTCAAGGATCTAGGTTTCTCCCTTTTGATAATAGATTCAGGTTTCAGACTTGTATTATAAACTGTACCTAATAAAATCAGGCAGAAAACCCATACGCTATTGTGCCTCTTAGCCCGTGAAATATAAACACCGTCTGCTGCTTTGTCTTTCTTGAGCAAGTGATGCTGTCAAGCTGGACGTATGACGGGCTGCTTTCACTACACTCTGACCCATGGACCAAGTGGAAAATGGTAACTTAGTGCCAACCCCAATTGTCTATGGCATACACTGCGTTCCAAAGGAAAAAATTGATTTCCTTAGATTTGCTCCACTCCCATCTTCCCTAAAAAGAAGCGTATTTTTAACAAAGCCGATATTCTCATTTCAAGTGTCTTACTTTTAGTTTCTTCTAAAAGTCAGGTACAGATTCCCTCTTAGTCCAGATCCCCTACTAAAGGCGGTCTCAGGGATGTTTAGTCTTGGGAGACTTCATGCGTCTGTCTGGGAAGCATTAGTGACTCCTTATTGTTTTCACATAAACCTCTGCCCTGGAATTCCAGTCCTCCGCCTGAGAGTAGAGCAAAACAACCAGGGGAGGAAGGAGGCAGGGGCTAGACCATGTAGGGCATCTTGTAGGGTGTGGCAAAGCCGGGATTTTATTGTAACTATGCTGAAACCAGTGGTGGATTTTGAGAAGGGGAGTAACATGATCTGACTTGTGTTTATGTTTCTGAAAAGGTCACGGGTTCTATTGACTTAGGGAGTGGGGTGAGGCAGGAGAAGGCAAAACGGAGTAGAAGTTTAAAACCAGTTAGGATACTGCAGTAGACAGGGCAAGAAATGGGGGGGATTTAGACAATGATGGTAGCAGTAGAGCTGGCATTGTGGTGAGAAGTGGTTAGATTCAATATACATTTTGGAGAGTGAGCCAACAGGACTTGCTCAAAATGATTAGCAATAAGCTAAGGAGGAAAGAGAGGAATCAAGGATGATACCTAGATTTGTAGCCTGAATAAAAGGGCCCGTGGTGAGACCATTTAGTGAAGGGTAAGAGGACCTAAGGAGAGGAGTCGGTTGGGTAAGGTGGGAGATGTGGAATCAAAACTGTGCTGTGAACATGGTTAGTTTGAGAGGCCTAATATACGTCTGAGTGGAGATTCCATTTAGGCAACTGGATCTATGAATCTGAACTAAATGCTGAGGTCTAGGCTAGAGAAAGAAATTCAAGAGTCATTGGCCTGTGGATGTTATTTAAAACCTACAAAATGAGGATTGAGAAAACAAGGAGGCTGGAAGACTGAGACTCTCCATCATGTAAAGGTCTGGAATGACGAAAGAGCCAGCAAGAACACCAACAAAGCAGGGCCCGTAAGGAAGGAGGAAAACCAGACAGTGTGGCATTTATCACGTTAAATGGACACCGGAAGGGCTTTCCCCTTAAGTACCCTAGATGCTAATCTGTACTCATGCCCTATATTCAATTCAAGGAGACTGTCATGGATTGAACTGTGTCCCCCCAAAATGTGTGTCAACTTGGGTAGGCCATGATTCCCAGTATTGTATGGTTGTCCTCCATTTTGTGATTTGATGTAATTGTCCTATGTGTTGTAAATCCTAATCTCTGCCTGTGGTTAATGAGGCAAGATTAGGTTATGTTAAAGAGGATTAGGGTGGGATGCAACACCCTTATTCGGATCACAGCCTTGATCCAATGTAAGGGAGTTTCCCTGGGGCATGGCCTGCATCACCTTTTATCTTACAAGAGATAAAAGGAGAAAGAAGTGAGCAGAGAGATGGGGACCTCCTACTGCCAAGAAAGAAGAGCTGGGAGCAGAGCACGTCCTTTGGATCCATAGTCCCTGCACTGAGAAACTCCTAGACCCAGAGGAAGATTGACAAAGCCCTTCCCCCAGAGCCAACAGGGAAAGACAGCCTTCCCCTGGAGCTGGTGCCCTGAATTTGGACTTCTAGCCTCATTAATTGTGAGAGAATAAATTCTGTTTGTTAAAGCCATCCACTTGTGGTATTTCTGTTACAGCAGTGCTAGATGACTAAGACAGAGACTTACATACTGCACCATATGAAGTTGCCTTTTTTGTCTGTCAAAAACTGTTGTGTGGCTCTGACCAGGATCACAACAGAGGGTTCTGGACAGAGCTGGAGAAGGCTGTAGAACAAAATTCTAACTCACAAAAAAAAGGCCAGATTTACTGGCCTAAAGGAGACTGGAGAAACCCCGACAGTATGGCCCTCAGACACCCTTTTAGCTCAGTGGTGAAGTCATCTCCAAGGTTCACTGTTCAGCCTGGGAGTGGACAGCC